CATTTATTTAATATTTAAACATTTTATCCACATTTTACAATGTTATCCATATTTTTAAATTTTATTCACATTTATATTTATCCACATTTCTACTTTTGAACCATTTTTTTACATTTATCTAGTTTTTTATCCCGCACATTTCTTATTACAAATATTTTCAAAAATTACAGATTTCAAAAAAATATACAAATTAAAATTTTACATTTAGAAGAGTTTTTATTAATTTTTTTATACGTGACATACAATTTATTATTATTAATATTTTAATTTGTAAATGAAATAAATTTTTGTTCATCAATTTAAAAGTTCGCAGAACTTTCGGATTTTCTTTTTCGTACCTATCTTTGTGAATTTTTAAAATTTTTTATTTCTACTCTTCTGTTTATATATAATGTTTTGTTTACAAATTTTTATTTTTCAAATTATTGATCAAAAATCTATAGAAAATATATAAAAAATTTGAATAGAAAAATATTTTTTTTTCTAAATCGTTGATTATAAACGTTGTAAACTCAACCAAAGTGATTTTCTAAGGATTTCAAATTGAGAAAAAAAAAGTATGAAAATAGTTGCGAAGCATTTTTGTCTCAATTTGAAATCCTTGTAATGAATAGAAAATAATAAATCAATTAATTAATATAATAAATAAAAAACAAGTTTGATTGAAATAAAGTTTTCTCATTGAACTTTTTACTATGTATTATATAAATGAATAATTCTCCATTAATATCATCGCGATCATCAATTTTATATTGACTGTTATTCGACCACTATTTTATTTAGGTATACTATATTACGTTCATTAATTATTATTTATTATTATATTAACAAGCGCATTATAGAAATCAGTATTATAACACGTACCCGATTATATTATATAGTAGATTAAAATTCAAGTCACGCGGAAATAAGTTTAAATTTAAAATAATGGAAATGATTTTAAAATGTGACATAAGAAAATTGTGCAATTTATTTTATACAACAATTGTCTGTCTATTGTATTCGCCTTTTCTTCTCCATACATGAAAAAATAAGGTATTAATCTCGATTCCCATGACTATATAATAATAGTGATAAAATCAATTATATTTGCAACATATTTCAACTATACACAATATAATAATAGTAGCCTCGAACTCGATCAATGTCAGTATTCAGTAAATTGATCTTTTATCGTTTTTTCAATAGCAGTGCGGTGCGGTTTGTTAGGGGATTTCATTTTAGGGTATATATACACTTCCTTAATCGTGACTTTATAACTTTCATTACTTTTCTAAATTGATCAAAGAAAATATCAGATAAAAAAACCAATTTTTTCCTTTTACACTTTTTTCTGATATTATAATTTAATAGCAAATGGAAATAGAAATTTTTCTCAAAATTTTCAACGTTGGACAAAGTTTTTTTCTGCTTAAATATTTTCGAGAATATTCTGTGAAAATTACAATCCAAAAGAGAAAAAAATAATTAAAATTAAATATTTCTTTATAGTTCAGAATTTATTTTTTTGCAAAAAAATACCAACTAAAAAAATATCGTCGTACACATTTTGAACATTTATAGAACTTTAGAAACATCAATAGGATAACTAAGAAGAGGAGCAATATCAAGAGAAAAATAAAATACATATCTAGAAAATATTCTTATAAATATCGATACCTATCAATAAATAAATATCGAAACTTTCGTTACTTTAACTTTTATTACATTTATAAATTAATAAATTAATAAAAGAAAAGAAAAATGGAATTAGATAATTTTTAGGCACTAGAAATTTTTTAATAAATAAATAAATAATTAAAAAAAGCAGTAAGAAGAAAAAATAAAATGTTACGAAAGTAAGAGTGATAATGACTTAATAATAATTACGCTATAGGTATCATGACAACAATAGTTAATATAATAACAATAATATCAGCAAAAGCAACTATCATCATAACAATCCATAATTAATAATCGTTGTATTCCGGTAATCTATTCGCAGTTTGAAGTTAGTTGTTGTTTGCTTTTTGATTCTCAACTTTTTAAATAATTTTAATTTTAAAATTAATGTATTAAAAATCATCGAATTTTTGCAAAGAATTTTATCAAAAAATTTGATAATAATAGAATTCCTTCCAAGAATTTTATTATTTAAGAAAATAATAATTAAATTATTGCGAAAAATTTTGTTAAAATTTTTGAAAATTCTAATTAAATTCATTTTGAAGAATTTCTTCGAATTTTTTTTTATGAACAATTTTTTTCAAGTTTTTGAAATAATCGTGTTTGTTAATAATTGAAATTAAACATTTAATTACTGAATTTTATTACAATTTTAGAAAATAATTCAATTCTATTGAAATTTTTTAGTTAAGAAAAAAATTGGATTCTTTCCTGAAACTTTTTTGAAAATAATTGAATTTTTACAAAGAATTTTTCTATTCATAAATATAATATTATAAATCATAAATATAATATTCGTTCCTGAAATATTAAAATTTTTGTCTAAAAATAATTTGAATTTTTACGAAAAATTTTATTGTTTATAAAAAGAATTGAATTTTTGCGAAGAATTTTCTTAAAATTTTTAAAATTAATAAACAAGAATAATTAATTAGTAAATTAGTTAAATTATTCAAAAATTCATATAGGAAAATAAAAAATTTTTTTAATTTGCATATTAATAATAAGAAATTAAACATCACGTTCCGCGCGCGTAACATTTGCTAGTGTATAATAATAAATAAAATAAAAATAGAGAATAAAATAGCAATAATAATTACAACAAAAGAATTAGAATATTATAATAACAAGAATAATAAATATAATATATAATATATGGATATATAATAATAAAGTAAGAAAATAATGATAATAATTATATTAATAATAATAATATAAAAATACTAATGCAAAATATCTAATACCAGTAGCAATTGTTTATTATTTCCTAGAATTTGGAGAAAAAATAAAAAAAACAGTAAAAGTGGATTATAAAAGAAGACATGTCTCGATTGAGTGAATTTTGAATATGAGCCAATTTCTAAAATTGGTCATAAAGAAATAAAATTGAGAATATGTATTTTCTTTTTTTGTCAGTGATTTTTATATATACATATTACAGCATTTAGATCACTTATTTTAAATAAATAAATATATATATATATATATATATATATATATATATATGTATTCATTAAGTAGTTACCAGTATAGTTACGGTAAACGAACAAGTATAATATATAAAATTCTTAAGCGATCAAAGTACGTAACAGTGGATAATTATATTTTTCAAATATAATCTTGGTGAGACGAAAAAAAAGGAATACAAAATTACTGTATAGCTGGTAAAAAAATGTTAAATCCAGATTTCAGACTAATTCTTATTGTATACAATTATTTATAATTTTATATACAAGCAATTATTAGCACACATTTATCTACATTTTGCATTTATACACATGTGTTATGTGATACAAGATCACTTTTATTAACAGAGGAAAATAAAAAAAAATCGTAAAAGTTACATGCGTTCAGTCATTTTTCATTTCTTCCTTTTCTTTTCTTTTCTTTTTTCCCTTTTTTTTCTTTTTTACGTCACTTTTGTGACTAATAGAATCTAATTATTTTTGCCGCGAAATTTTTACGCTTACAAAAACACGAGTGTGCGCGTCGTTTGACAATAATTATGAAAACAAGATTGGAACAACGTGAAAGTTTGCAGACATATTTTTCCTTCTCTGTTGTAAATGCTTTTTTTTAATAAAAGTAATTTTAAAATTTACGTTAATCAAACACACAGTGACTATTATTTTCTATACATTGACCAGCAGTATTTATATTTTACTGGGTTTATTGTCAAATTTCGATTATTGCAATTTTTTTTAATTATTATCTTGTTGGGAAAGAAATAATCAAACAATTTATTTTTTCTTCTCGAGAGAATTGCATTTTTTTGTTATTATTCAGATTAGTGCGATAATTTGAGTTTATCGAAAAAAAAGATATTATTTTGAAATTGTGTCTTTCGCTCTTTTTATCTTTTTTTTTTTTAATGAAAATTTATGATTCTTTGATGATTCTTTTTATTTTATATTCTCGATGGAATAATATAGGCATAACATTTTGTGGAATTTTAAAATGTTTCCGCATTATTTTATTAATTTTATTAATTAATATTTTTTCTTTTAAATTATATTTTGATATAAAATGTCTATAAAAGTTATTTTAATTAATTAATTAATAATGTTGTAATTATGTAAATATTCCTTCCGCCTTTGTGCAAGAATGCTATTTTGTCTTATGGACAAACAAATAAATTTCTAAATATATATAGAAGATGTTTTTTAAATAATATAATGTGTTAAATTATTTTTGATTAACAATAATTAAATTACTTTTTATCAAAATAATAATTGAAACACGGAAAAAAAATTTACCCAAAACAGCTACAAATTTCACTATATTATATATTAGTGAAATTCTTAGTTACACAGGAAAAAAAAAGTCTGACTCCGTTTACACCTTAAATTCAGCCCATGTATTTCACATAAGTCTGTCCTTGTTTAACGGGGCTGACTCCGTTTACATCTTAAATTCAGCCTCAAAAATAGGCTGAAAGTAAAACTTTTTTTTTAGTGTGTATCTAGAAAAACTTATCGCTGTTCCAGGTAAAATTTTTTTTTCCGTGAATAATAATTAATAATATACACCTAGAGAAAAAAAATTATAATAAAAATATATTTGTCTCAGAACCAACTAGGTTATTTATTTGTTTTAAATAAAACTTGTATTCGACTCAAATATAACTATAACTTTTTTAACAAATGTCTAGTTGGCTATGAGTCAAATTTATCTTTTTTCTAGGTGTATAATTAAATTAAATTAATAATCCATAATAACAGATAATAATTTAATTAATAATTAAATTAACAATTGATAATTGTTATATTATAATTTAAAAAAATATATTTTTGATAAAAAAAATGAAAAAAAATGAAAAAAAATGAGGTACTTACATTGTGCAGTTGCGATAAATCCGAAGCGGGTAAATTCGCAGGATTCGCTTCTCCGAATGTATAATCGGTGTGCAAAACTAACAACGTCCACAAGAAGCACAACACGTATTTTCGCTTCATTATTGTAACACGAATTATTTTTCACAATTTCAAAACAAAAAAAATGAATAATAATCCTCTTTTTACTGAACAACAATTTTCTTTCACACTTTCTTCTATTTTTTTCAAGTCACCACTATTTATTGTGTTTTTCTTCCAACATTCCAATAATCCAAATATTTACCCTTTTCGACTGTTTTTCTGTGGCTGAAAAAATTAATTTCTTTTCAAATTCTTTCTCAATTTTGTCGTTTTTTTTAAATATTAAAATTTTCGTAAAATTTTGTTAATTAAAAAAATATTTTCTTTTTTTTGGTACTATAAAGAAAAACTCTTGTAAATTTAAGTGTAAATTAATAGTTGTATTGTTTATTTATTTAGTCACTTGTTTATTTACTTATTTTTTATTTCAATTACTATATTTAAACCTTTATAAACAATATTATTGAGGAAAAGAATTTGCTGAAAAGAAATGTTGTTTTCTCCAAAAATAACGACGGATATAAATAAGGAAATAAACAGCGAAGATATAAGTGATTTTAAAAAGTGAAAAAAGGGGGGAACTTGAGGATTTCGCGGTTCTGTGAACTTTCGACAGTGTGAGGACGGGTTTGAAACTGCAGGAGATCGGAAAACGTCCGAGAGTTTTACTTCTTGTGAGGGAAGACTTTAAAACACCAGGTGGGAGATGGATGTAGGAGAAAGAACTCGCCCACTCGTTTTATATATTCCTTACAATTCCTTCCAAAGTCCTGCGAGATATATACTTTTATAGCTATTTCTCCTCCGATTTATCTCGTTTTTTGCGCATTTCGAGAAAAAATAAAAAAAATCCCATCTTTTAAAAAATGTTTCTCTTATTATGTATTCAATTTAAATATTCAAAAAGATGCAACAAATTTTCTTGCAAATTCAATACGGAATAATTTATGAATAATGTTAATTAAATTAAATAAATAAATCATTTTTGGTTCTACTGTCAATTTGGTAACTACCATTAAATTTGCAAACTATTTTCAATTATAATTTTCGATATACATACTATTTATTTCAATCACTATCTGAACCTTTTTGTATAAATAAAATTTGGAGAAAAACATTTAAAATATAAATATAATTGCGGATTTTTATTATTTTTCTTTTTTTTAAACTACCTACAATTTAAAATTATGATCAGCGATAAATATTATTGAGATGAAAAAAGACAATAAAGTAAAACAATTTTAAAATATCTATGCAAAAATATCGGTGAAGGTCGTCGAAAAAAATTATTTAAAAAACAAATACTAGATGAATATTATTTTATAACAAATAAAAAAGTCATAAAGTTATAAAAAAAAGTAAAAAAAAAATTGTAAGAGAAATAAAAAACCAATACGAAAAAAATAATGAAAAAATATTTTAAAAAAATAGAATTGTTAAAAAATACAGACAGAAATGTTGAAGACATTTAAACAAGAAATTGAAACGAGAAAAACGCATTTTGAAAAAATAGAGAAAAAATTATAATTTCACGTTTATTAAAAGAAAAATTCACGATTTAGAAAAGGGAAATCAATTATTACGGCATTTATTTTAATATTATCCTATAATAGTATTTTTTAAAGACTTTTAATAATAATTAGAAAACTGTTTTTTTCACCGGATAAGAATTTTTTTAAAGCAACTATTTTTTTAATTAACTTATTAAAATATGTATATGAAAAATTATTCTCACGGTTTTTAATAACTTCTTTCACACTTTTATATTTTTGAATGATATTATAATAATACATATGCTTTTAATAGTTTATAGTTTCAAGAATATTGATCAGAATAAATTATAAAAAAATATTCTTACGAAACTTCATTAAGAGGGTAAAAATGAAAATTCTAGTCGCATAAATATTGTTTTTAGTACCTTTATAGTATATTTACATTTCTCTCATCAATATCTCTCTAAAGCACTCACCTGCTCTTGACTATACTTTCACTGACAAATTTTAGGATAATTTTTATACATAATTAGAAGAGATGATGAATTTTTCATAAGAGACTCAATTCGTTTTGGATGGAGAAAAATTATAATTTTTTATATTCTACTTTCAATATTATAATAACTAAACATTAGGTTTAATTATTATTAATTGAATATAAATATTTAGAAATATTAACAATTTTTGAATATTTAAAACATTAAATTTAATTGTTATTATTTTTATTACTAACTAATAATAATTATAAATATTGAAATTTATTATATTATCGATTAAATAAATTAAATAAGTAAATGAACAAATTAATTGATAATATTAAATACTTACTCTCTAGATTTAGTGACTAACTTTTTGCTCTTGAATTAGTTATTAATTAATTAATACTAATTTATTAATAAAATTTATTAATTCAAAAGCAAAAAGTCCGTTACTAATTCAAATATATATTATTTTAAAAGTTTACAAATAAAATGTTTTTCTTTTATTCGTGGCAAAAATTTTTTTCGCATAAATTAATAATTAAACTGAGAGAAGTGTATGTATAATGTGACAATATTTCACTTTTTTTTGCTAATTAGAAGAAGAAAAAAATTCAAATTGGTAGGTAATTATTTTTTATAATCTGTGAAAAATGTGCTTTTCACTTTTTTTCCTTTACTTATTAATTAATTAATATATTTAAACTATACTGTATATGGAAGTTAATGTTCTCTAACAGAACATAATTTTACTTCACCCCTTTTATTAAAAAATATACATAATGTTTTAATTTTGCATTTTATTTTGCAATTTAATTTTTTTCTTTTTCTCTATTTTACACATTTTGTTATCTATATAATACCTAGTGATAAATATTATTGAGGCGATATTTCTAGCGTAAGAGAAAAAGAAAATTATAAAAAATAATAATACGTGGGAAATTGATACCGTGGAATTATTATAGCGATTTGAATCTATACATCAAGCAAACAAGAAAAGTCCTTCTGATGTGAATTATATATAGAAAAGTATTTGTATTAGAGTTCAAAGATATTAATCTCGAATCGAAACTAACTTGGGTATAATGCAATGACTCGTAAAAAATTTATAAAGAAAGATGTAGTGACTAGACATTTTTTATTAAATTTAATACATTTTTAGAATTTTTTTCGTATTTACTATTTAATTGCGATATATTTTTTCCTTCGGACTAATTTTTTTTACATTTTTTGTATTAATTATTATAAATTAATTTATAGTCTTTACAATACGGAAACAAATCTTTAGTTTTTCTAAGGATAAAAAATTGAGACAAAAGGCGAATCAAAATATATTTTGCTTTGCTTTTTTTGTCTCAATTTGAAGAAAATTGGTCAGAAACTGAAAAAAATTAATTTGACTCAAATAAACGACTATTTTTCTATTATCAAATAAATATTTACTTGCATGATTCAAATATAATTTTTATTTAAATCAATTAAATGATTCACTTCACATTTGCTTCAAATAATACTCAAGTTATTGGTTCCAATACGATTTATTTCTAATGGAATTTAATTTTAATAATTGTAATAATAACTATTGTAATAAAATTGCAATAGTAATCGGTTATTTGAAAAAAATAAATTCTTTTCCACTTATACTTATATTTTTGTTAATAATACATTCAACTTGGCTTTTGTCAATATTTGTGCAATCAATAGAAACAATAGGTAATTCACTATTTTGCATTTAACATACATATATATGTATTTATGAAGAAATAATAAAATACTTTCCAATCACTTTCTTTAAATATTATTCACTTTTGAAAATTCGACCTCAATTTGAGGCAAAAATTGATCACAATCTTACGACTAATAGGTTGATATAATTAATTGAGCGCACATTAATCTAGAATTAATTTCGAATCAACAAGTTTTAGAAAGCAAATAATATAAAAATATGTATGAAGAAGTTTAATAAATTATTAAAACAATTTAATTTCCAATTATAGCATTATGTAAATTATGCATTATCTATTATACCTGCATTTAATTATTAGGTACAATATTGATTATTTTTATTTTCATGGTATAATTATTCTATTTATTTATCATTATTACATTATCATCACCTCAATCGACATATTTTTTATTCTTCTTTTCCGTCGTTATTGATAAACAATTAAATATTTTAATAAGAATAGGAAAAACAAGTAAAAAAAATGTTTTAAAATGTTTTTTTAGAAATAAATTGAAGCTAAAGAACAAAAAAAAAGTTGTGATTGAAGAATATGTATTATAAATAGAAAGATTTATTTATTGATTTATTATATTTATGAGGTTTTTATTGAAGAACAGTAGCAGAAAAGATTATTCCCAAGTGTAAAAACTGTTTCTCAATATTTATTTTATATCCTTAACTTAACGCGAAAAATTCTTTTATTAAATTCGAAATTAGGTAGTTGACAGTTAGTCAGTTACCTACTATTATTTCATACTAATTTTTCACTGTTCAGTTTTAAATGCAATAAAAAGAGAATTTTTTCGCATTTCTTGTTTATTGTACATTAAAGAGATTCAGTCGTAAAATATGGTAGATTTATCGTTTATTGCAATAGCAATAGGTTTTTCAGAAAATTATATTTGTTTAGAAATTTTGTCACATTATAATAATAATCGATAAATATAATACATTTTTATTTTTATGCGATGGGAATAAATTTTTGTAAAAGTATTATTCAATATAATTTGTCAAGTGAGGTTCTTTCTTTTAAGAGTTTAATATTTTATCAATATTTCAAAGTATAAATAAATATTTTAAAAAATAATTATTTTTGTCGGACATAAAAAAATTAAAATCAGAATTTATTCTTGAATATTACCTATATTGAAATTAAAAATTTGCTTCCTACTTAAAAATTGTACGAAAATATTTCTGTCCTATTAATTTTAATAATTATTATTTGACTTTCTAATTTAACTTTATTAACTACATACTCAGAAAAAAAATTGCAAAATAATTTTTTTTGATTTTTTTTACTGTTATTCAACACTGAGAGAAATGATTAATTTGAGTAACGATTTCTTAATAAATAGAACACTAATGATACACTGGTAAATCACCGAAAGTGATTTTTTCCTCCTTCGGTTTTTTTCTATATAATTTAACTCGCCTATAAAAAAAACTAAATGAAACTTATATAAGATTTAAATAATTTTAAAAGACTCATTTGTATACCCGATTCTAAATTTCTCAAAAAAAAAAAACGAGAAATTTATTTAAACAATTTTTGTATTAGGTAAATTTAATTTTTTTTTTTTGACAGAAAAAGAGCACTGTGATGTAATGTACGGTATGTACATTTGATGATCCTGTATTATATGCCACTCTTCCATACGGAATATAGAAAGTTTGTCTATATCTTTTCAATATTGATGAATATTTCTGGTTTACGTTTGAAAAGTCAGCCATCAAATTATCTGAAGGTGAAGAAATTATTTATATTTTATAGGAGCTGTCAAGAAGAAGTTCTTCATCTCTCTTCAGGATAAATTAAATTTTATTCGCCATAGAACAAAATAATAAAGTTGTTACCGCGAAGAATGTAAAAATAATGCTAACAATATTTTTAACACTTATTTATTATTTATTACTTAAAAAGAAAAAAAATTTCGTGAGAAAAAAATTATCATAAGTTATATAAGTTTATTACAATTGTTA